CGGCGGTCCTAACCCCCGCTCTGGGTGCGTGGGCGCGTGGGCCCCCAGCACTCAGGTGACCCGGACACCCGCACCCGACTGCAGGGAGCGCCGAGGTGCACAGTGGAGAACGAGGCGTGCGCGCGCACCGGCCGCGACCCACACGTGAGGGAGAAAGCGCCTGTTGACAACTGGCAGAGCTTCAGGAACAACTTGTTTCAGGGCTCCAAAAAAAGAGGGCAATTAAAAATACTTCTGCGTTGATGGAAACAGGGAGTTAGGCATCAAAGTGGTCAGGCTCACTATTTTAATTCAGGAAGAGACCTCTTTGTAAAAAGCCATTACGTTAGTTCTTTAAAAACTCATAATACAGTTAGTGGTTTTTTGTTTTGTTTTGTTTTTATTGTTGTTGTTATTGTTGTAGGGAGAGAGACAGTGAGAGGGAAAATGAGAACCCAACCCCCCCACCACCACCCTCAGGGGCTGGCCAAGTGTGCCCAGCAAGATTTTCTCTCTCTTTTTTAATTATAATTTTATTTTACTTTATTTATTTTAATTTGACCAGAGAGGGGGAGGGGAGAGGAGGGGGGAGAGAGAGAGAGGAAGTGAGACAGTAAGCCACCAAGTCCGGGACTTGAACCACGATTAGCCATGTGGGAGCCCAACGCCCTTACCCACCACACCACCTGCCAACCACGCCACCTGCTGGCCGCCCAGTCAGGTTTTCAAGCGGCCCCTTGAACCCTGTGGTTGGCCACGAGAAAGTCCAGCACCTTATTTTTTTTAAAGAAGTCTCTGAAACACCTCTAAAACGCAAATGTTTTGTTTGTTAAGAGTTATCTTATTTAACTTTATCTATTAATTTAAATTTGACAAGAGAAGGACAGAGAGAGAGAGAGAGAGAGCAAGCCCCCAGGTCCAGGGTCCAGGGCTGGACCCGGTCAGCCATGTGGGAGTCCAGCACCCCTACGTGCCACAGCACTTGCGGGCCCCAACTCAAATGCTTTGAAAACACTCACTGTCTTGTGCTTTAAATGCTAGCCAGCCTTCCTTTGCTCCAGAAAGCTCCAGAAGCAGACTCCATGATCAGTGAGCGGGCAGCGTGTGTCCAGGTGGTGTGCGAATAAGCAAGCTGAGTGCAGTGTGTGCGTGTGTGCAGTGTCTGTGTGAAGTCTGGTGTGTGCGTGCATGCAGTGTACACGTGTGCGGTGTGTGTGCATGCAGTGTGGTGTGAGTCTGTCACTGTGAGTGCCTACGTGCACATGTCACTGTCCCCGAGAATGACATAAGCGCTGTGCACCATTCAGTATGTGAAACGAGTCCTGACTTGAGTGCTTACATTTTTAGAATCTGTAATTCTACCAATGTTCTCTCTAATTCTTTTGAGAAGACTAGACCGACTTCAGTTTACAAGGCCAGCTGCGGCACGCGGAAGCCGAGTTTGGCAGCACTGTCACCGGGCAGGCTGAACTGCCAGGCCCTCACCGAGACTCCTTTGGTCATTATTTTCACGGTCCCATCAGCGATTCCTGGGGTTAGGGGCGTGAGGCCGGTGGCTGGCTGCCTTGCCCGCCCGCTCCCCTCGCCACCCCTCCAGGCCCTGCGGGCTCCCTTAAGAAAAAAGGGAAGGGGTTTTTTTTTTTTTTTTTTTTTTTGGTGAGGTTTTTGCTATAGGGCGAGCCCGCTCGCCAGACAGAGACAGAGAGACAGAAAGGGAGAAATCACCCCCCCCAGGGGGGATGGCCACGCTGCAATCCCTTCTCCTCCATTCTCCTCTCAGGAGCTTGGGCACGCACACACACGCGCCCTGCGTGAGTTTTTTAAGCCACTGGGTCTGGACATGAACCGGGGTCACTACATGGGAGTCCAGCGACATAGCCATTACGCTAACTGCTGGTTCCTGGGAAGCGTGATTAAAAATACATAAATCTTTGAAAAAAAAAAAGGGGGGGGGCTGGCAGGGGGCGTGTTGGTTGAGGCGCTGGACTCCCACGTGGCCAACCACGGTTCGAGTCCTGGACCTGGTGGCTTGCTTGCTTTCTCACTCTCCTCTCTCTCTGTCTGTCTCACTCTGATTAAAATAGAAGAATAATGATAATAAATTAAAAATAAACAAATCTTTAAAAAAAAAAAGAAAAGAAAAGAAAAAAGAAAGGGAAGCGTGAATGTAGGCGCCCGCTTCGAGGTTAATGACGAAGGTCAGCGATGGGCGATGCCCCTAGACGCGAGCTCACGGCTGGGTGCGCAACTGGGAAGGCTGCACGGAGGAGGCCGGAAGTGTGCCTCTAACTGCGTTCGCGAGCTCAACCGGCCATTCCTAAGTCCCCAAGGCCCGGCACGTTCGGGTTTTCCACTCTTTTGGTGACAAACAGCCCGCC